GACGAGACAGAGGTGGTGGTGTACAATATGGTGAATGTACTAAGCGCCACTGAATAGTTCACTTGAAAGTGGTTAATTTTACGTTGTGTGCATTTCACCTGAATAAAAAAATAAATATTTTATAATGAGATGTTTTCTAATTAATGGCCTATTTCTCATTGCTCAACAATCTACCTGGAAACAGGGAGGATTTTATTTCCTTCCATAGTGAAAAGAGGGATTAAATAGGTCTCTAGGTTCTAATATTTGTCACCTTTTGGGTTTTCTTACAGAAAGTCTAGTGTTTTCCCAGAATGTCTGTTGCACAGAAGTAATTCTAACCCACTACCCCTGACTTGCTTGGCCCTGTACCATCAGCAGCAGTGACCGGTGTGGCCGGAGAATCACAAGTGGATGGGGTGCACCTGTGTTCACCAGCCCCTACGCCCCCTGCCGGCCCGTGTGACCCAGCCGTGCTCTGGAGAATGCCCTTCTGTGGTGGTGGCATCAGACAAAGACTATGGGTCATTTCAATTCAGTACCAAAATACGAAGAACTGGCTCTCTCCACACACTTTTAGGATCAAAGAAAATCGATTTTAACAAAGAACAGAAACATCTTTGGAAGAAACACAGTTTTTTTCCCCTTCTTTTTGATACTAAGAAGAACATATGCTTCCACACACAGATCCAAAGTGGTCAGCTGTTAAGTGGAAAGAAAAGCCCAAGAACTTAGGAGGAATAAAAATACTGAGAATAGAGGTAAATAGAAGGGAACTTGAAAAGAAACTGCAAGATTATGTAACAACAACAACAAAAAAGGCTAACAATCATATTTAGGAAAAGCAGGTACGGGACTGCCCAGTCTTACCCAACACCTTCCGCCTTGTGCCCTACGTCATGCAGTCAGGGCCATAGACTAACAGGCCTCCCAAACCGTCACCCAACCAATTTTCTAAACCACCCCGTTGGTCTCCCACTCTATTTCTTGATGTAGCTGTAATCTTTCTGGTTTTGCCCTAATGACATTTTTTCCAACCATGGCTCGGTCTCATCTCCTAGACTTAATGCTTAGCTTTGAGCGTTTGGTTTCGTTGACCAAGGTTTAGACATTCTTCTGGGACTCCTGCCTTCAATGGCTTCATGCATTCAGCCTGGCCCAAGGGTGCTGAAACAGAGTCCCCCTAAAACTGAGTTCCTCTGCTGAGTTGATGATTAACCTCTCTATCCAAAACTTTACTTCCTTTCTTCTCCTGAACCTGTTCACCTTAAGACTGAGGAGTATCAAAGAAAAGGGGAGACTGAAACCGTATACAAGCCCCCGTGTGTCTGTCCTTTGAAGTAAAAGGCTTTTGCTTTCGTCTTCCAGGCCTCCCTTGAGTCTCTAAACACTGGCTCAAGAGTTAATGATTATGAAATGTGAAGATGCAGAAACAAAGAATAGCTGTTGGGCCAGGAAACTGGTAACAATTTAGACTATAAATCCAACATATCGCAGAATCACCAAACTCCCAGTTCCTTGAAAGATATAGATAAAGGCCTGACACACATTCCTAAGTTGTTTTTACAGGAAGCAGCCCCTACCAGATGAAAACTGTGACCACAAGCACATAGGTCCTGGACTGGTTGAAACCAGAAGGCTGATGAAGCTTGAAACTTCACCTTGATGCCAACCAATCCGAGAATTGTCCATGAGCTGATATGCACCCTGAAGCCCCCTCCCTTACACTGCCTTTAAAACCCCTTCCCTGGGCTTCCCTGGTGGCGCAGTGGTTGAGAGTCCGCCTGCCGATGCAGGGGACACGGGGTCGTGCCCCGGTCCGGGAAGATCCCACATGCCGCGGAGCGGCTGGGCCCGTGAGCCATGGCCGCTGAGCCTGCATGTCCAGAGTCTGTGCTCTGCAATGGGAGAGGCCACAACAGTGAGAGGCCCGCGTATCACACACACAAAAAACCCTTCCCTAAAAGCCATCAGGGGTTTCGGGTCTTTGGAGCATGAGCTGCCTGTTCTCCTTGCCTGGTGCCCTGCAATACATGCTGTACTTTCCTTCACCACAACCAAGTGTCAGTAGTTGACTTTACTGCGCGAGGGTGAGTGGACCCAGGTTTGGTTCTGTAACGATGTCACTCCTCCCTGTGACTCACGGAAAAGTGTTCAGTTCTGTTTTGGTGAATCCTTCCTTTTCTTGGTGTATCCCTCAAGACTAAGCCTAAAATAAGGTTCTAATATTGATTTCAGGCTCACAAATGGCTAGATAAGCTGCATATCAAGAAGAAATGTTTAAGTATAATGAGAAAGCAAAATATATTAAATGCTTTCAAAATCCCCTAATTCTATTGCAATATGCCAACTGACTCAGAGAGTCTTATTTTTTCCCTATGTTGTGTGAGAAAAAAACATGTGGTCCTGTCACAAAATGTTCTACATGCCACAGAAGTTGTAGCATTATTTTTCTGGAAAAAATCCTAAAAGAGGGAAAAAGCATCTGTTTCCTATGTTTGTCATGCTATGAATGAAATGCAAAATGGGGAGTGGGTTATGCAGGGGCATCTATTTTCCCTTTGATAGCAATGCTGAGGTAGAGCATCAATTTTGGGCTATCTTATGGTTAAGCAGCATGGATGAGGACTGCAATGTTGTATGCGTATAACTCCTGTCTTAAGCTGAGCAATTCCCTGTCACCTCCATCCTGACATCACTGCCACACCATGATAAAATCACACTGATAAAGCCCATGATAAAATCACACTGACCAGGCTCTTCCGCTTACTGACTCTGACCTTGGGCAAGTCATTTAACCTTTTGGAGCCTGTTTCTCCACTTTCAAGATGGTAATAGTAATGCCTATTATTTATTATTTAAGGTGCCGCTATGGTTGAATGTGTCCCCCCGAAAGATGCATTGAATTCCTAACCCCCCAGTACCTCAGAATGTGACCTTACTTGGAAATAGGGTGATTGCAGATGTCATAGTTAAGATGAAGTCACACTGGAGTAGGTTAGACCCTTAATCCAGTATGTCTGGTGTCCTTATAAGAGGAAGGACAGCCAAGGGAAGACACAAACCATAAGGAGAATCTCGCATAGGGAGACACAAACACATAGGGAGAATGACTGTGGACGGAGAGACTGGAGTGATGCAGCTGCAGGCCAAGGAATGGCAGCCAATGCCAGCCATCACCACAAGCTCCAAAGAGGCCAGGAAGGATGCTCCCCTACATGTCTCTGAAGGAGCACTGGCCCTACCTTGCTTTTGGACTTCTAGCCTGCAGAAATGTGAGACAATAAATTTCTGTTGTTTTAAGCCACCCAGTTTGTGGTATTTTGTTACAGCCACACTAGGAAAGTAATAGGGTGGTGGAAGTGTAATTTACTTATTGTATGTGTGTGTATTTTAATTGCGGGAGGAAAGACACTTAGAATAAACCAGATAGACAAGAAGAAAACAAGGTAACTTTTCTTGTGTATCTAAACCAAGGAAATGACATCATTTCCTCTGGAGCTGACACTGCTACTCTCCTTCCCACCCACAGGCCTCCTGGCTGTGCCTGCGACATCTGACCATGTTCCCTTCTTAGGGGCTTTGCATCAGCTGCATCTCTGCTGGGAACACACCAGGGCTAACCCCCAAATTCCTGTCATTCCTCAATAAGGCAGACCCTGCTACTCCATTTAACCCTGCCAACTGCCCTCCCACCCACCCAGCATATTCCCAATTCCCTTTACTTGACTCTACTTTTTTCTTTTTTCCATATTCTTACTGACTTCTAATAGCCTAGTAATTTATTTAATTCTCTATCGCATGCATTATTTATTATCTTTCTCCCTCTGTGATAGAACAAGCTCCAAGAGGGCAGGGATCGTCACCTGTTTTGTTCATTGATGAGAACAAGCATCTAGAACAATACCTAGTTCATAAGAGGTGCTCAACAAAGATTTTTAAAAATCCATTATTTATTTATTTATTTATTATTTTTTTTTTTTAGTGGTACACGGGCCTCTCACCGTTGGTGGCCTCTGCCGTTGCGGAGCACAGGCTCCCGACGCGCAGGCTCAGCGGCCATGGCTCACGGGCCCAGCCGCTCCGCGGCACGCAGGATCCTCCCGGACCGGGGCACAAACCCACGCCCCCTGCATCGGCAGGCGGACCCTCAACCACTGCGCCACCACAGAAGCCCCCATTATTTATTTTTAATTAGCCACTTTATAATTATAGAAGCTGTACATGTGCATCAAAAAACATTATAAAAAATTTAAAACTTCAAATTCCCTCCATCCAATAATATCTCCCCAATTACGATAAACCAAAACAGTTTTTATCTCTTTTAAGTGATTCCCTAAGGAATCCTGTCTCCTGAGGAAAAATGTCATGATAGGAATAACACCCATCTTCCAAGGCTTGGTATGTGGATTAAACCAAACAATACTTAATACAATGCTTGTTGTAACAACTAACACAGGTAGCTGTTATTTTCTCTCCTTTGATCTTGTCCTTAACTTCCACCCTTCCCCGCCCAACTTTCAAAAAGTAGGTGACAGATATCTGCAGCAAAAAGAATGGTGTGATGTTGTTCTTACAGGGAGGCAGGTGGGGAATGCCTTCCACTCCCGGCACTCAGGACAAAGCCCCCAAATTCACGGTACCAAGCTCTAAGGTCCAAACGCACCATGAGACACAAGGCCACCAACTATTCCATAGAATTTTACAACAGCAACCAATAACAATTAACACTTTTATATTGCACTCTCCCATTTGCAAAGCATTTTCATATGAAATTTTCTTTTATAGATGAAAGAACTGGGGCTCTGAGAATTTACATGATTTGTCCAAGTTTACACAGCTGGTAAGTAAAAAGACTGGGAATTAAATCTAGAATTAGAAGATCATCAGTGACAAGGATCTTTTAACTTGCTATTTAGTGAAATGCATACTATCCATTTTGAGTCCCATTCACAATAAATGAAATATTATTTAGTATTTTCTTTGTAAGCTACTTCCTTCCCCATCCTCTAAACAAATGACTTACCTCTCTGAATAGCCACACGGCCTTTCCTTGTTAGAGAGCTCTCCTCCAAAATTTGCTTCTTGTAAAAAGGAGACTTCACCCTCAGTGGTACATGTGCCAGGAAATAGAGTACATTGTTGAGAAAGCCTGGGAATCACTGCTCTTGTGAACTGTTGAGAAAAAAACAAAACATCAAGAGCTTTATATCATCAGTTCTCTCCGGGGACACCTTTAAAATAAATCTCTTATCCATTCTTTGGCAGAAGTCGTTACAAAAGAGGTTTTCTGTTTTTGTTTTTTTTGAGGTTTCCAATTAGGTTTAGTAATATATTTTTTAATGAATTTATTTATTATTTAATTATATTTGGCTGCATTGGGTCTTAGTTGCTGCGCACGGGCTTTCTCTAGTTGCGGCGAGCGGGTGCTACTCTTTGTTGCGGTGTACAGACTTCTCATTGCGGCGCTTCGCTTGTTGCGGAGCACGGGCTCTAGGTGCGCGGGCTTCAGCAGTTGCGGCACGCGGGCTCAGTAGTTGTGGCTTGTGGGCTCTAGAGTGCAGACTCGGTAGTCATGGCGCACGGGCTTAGTTGCTCCGCGGTATGTGGGATCTTCCCGGACCAGGGCTTGAACCCGTGTCCCCTGCAATGGCAGGTGGATTCTTAACCACTGTGCCACCAGGGAAGTCCTACGTTTAGTAATATTAAATTTGCATTCCTTAGCCTAAATTTATTCTAGGGCCTTCAAAGCATTTATTATAAACTGTTCCCACTTTTGAAGGGACTGAAAGAACCACATTCATGACTACTGAGGCTCCCATCCTTCCTATATACAGAATTCTCGCATTTATTTTTCATGGTAATTTAACTAAAATTCAAGGAGCTAGAAGACACAAAGTCAACCCAGCAGAGAAGTGAAGGCAGTAATCATTAGATTATTTCCTCCCCCAGAGGTAATAAAGCACCTTTTTATTCAAATACCAACCACTGTGTTAACTAGGTTGATGGGCTCCCCGTGGGCAGGGCACACACTATCCCTTCTAAACACATGAAATGAAAACCATGATGTAATGACTGTAAATTTTAACTGGAAAGGAGGTGGGAAGTGTCCAGGAAACAATCCCAGATTCAAATATGCCCTTTGCAAAGCCCAGGAAAAGAAGATAACATTCTGGGGCAATGAGACAGGAAGAAATCACTTCAATTGTCAGGATGACAATGGCTGTTGGGCCCTTTTGAGGAGTTCACAGTGTGGGCTTAGAGAAGGATTCCCAGTCATGGCTATGAGGGACGAGCTTGTATCGGACCAACTCCCACTGAACACAGCTAGAAAAGCTAGATAAAATTATTTTTAAAACCTATTTGAAGGTACTGGAGTGCTACCATGGCAGCCAGGACATGAGAGGACAAGATCTTGGGAGAAGGGAAATAGAAATGAGGCAAGCCATCATACTACTTTTCCTCTCAAGAAACCTACTGATCTTTAAGAGGCACAGGGCAAAACTGCTGAGAAGCCAAGCAGAAAGAGCTGCTTAGAGGCCTGCTTTTGCCAGGTTCACAAGGCTAAGGAGACTCCAAAGAGAAGGGAAGTCCAGAGAAGCAAGCTCAACATTCCGCCCCTCTAAGCGTTCGCTCATTGATAAATGACGTAACCCAAGCAGAAGACGGTAGCTAAGTGGCTGAGGAGTTAAACAGAGCAGTTGCCAGTTTCATGATGCTGGAGGAATGAAAATTAGACTTCAGGGCCCACCAGGCCCAGGTAAATAACCCATGCTTTCAGTTAGGACCCCTTAAAGGGCTACATCCTAGGATGAAGGCCTTAAAAATACTGGAACTGAGCCTCAAATCAGGTCAGTCCCTCATTAAAGGGGTCTGCCTTGCTCTAACTGCCTATCAGAAGCAAAAGCCAGCCTCTGGAGAAAGACACCGTCACCCACAGTCTCTATGATTTGTTATACATAATGTCCTGCGTTCAATCAATAATTACTAGGCATACCAGGACACAGGCTTAAGAGAAAAAGAGACAATGAAAACAGACCCAGAGGTGACCCAGATAAAGTCATGGCATATGGTCTTTAAAATACCTATGATTAATATATTTAAAATTGTAAAGATTATAAAATATTTTAACACACATCTCTCAGTAACTCACAAAACAAGCAAAAAAAAAAGTCAGGACACAAAAGATTGGAACAACACAATTTACAAACTCAACCTTAGTAAATTTATTTAGAATACTGCACTCAACAACTGATTACGTAGTGTTTAAGGTACACACATTAACATTTATGGAAATTAACCACATGGATCATAAAAGTTTCAAGAAAGTTCAACAAATGGAAACCAGAGTACTTTTTAAAACCTATTATTTAGAAGTAATACAGATTCACAGGAAATTGCAAAAACAGTATCATTTTTTAAATTGAAGCAAAATTTTCATAGAGTAAAATAGACTGGCTTTAAGTGTACAATTTTATACATTTTGATAAAGAAATCCAACTGTGTGATCGCCAACAAAATACAAATATGGACCATTTCCATCACTCCGGAAAGTTCCCTCAGGTGCCTTTTAGTCGATCCCCACATCCCAGAGGCAAGCACTGTTCTCATTACTATTACCGCAGATGAGTTTTGCCTGTTCTTGAACTTCCTAAAAAATGGGCTATAGTATGTACTCTTTTGTGTCTAGCTTTATTTACTCGGCATAATGTCTCTGAGATTCACCTACACTGCTGGGTGTCTCAAGAGTTCACTCTTCGTTATTGCTAAGCAATACATAGTCCATTGTATGAAAATACCACAACTTTTTAATATATTCCCTTAGAGATGGATGTTTGGTTGTTTCCATTTTAGGGTTATTACGAGTAAAGCTGTTATAAATATTCTTATACAAGTCTTTCTGTGAATATATATTTTCATTCCTCTTGGATAAATACCTAGGAGTAGAACTGCTAGATTACAGAGTTGGTGAATATTTAACCTTACAAGAAACTGCCATTTTCCCAAAATAGCTGTATCATTTTATACTCCCATCAGTAACACATGAGAGTTCCAGTTTACACAGCCTCATCAACATTTGGTATTGGCAGACTTTTAGTTTGTGCCATTCCAATGCGAGGTTTTGATGTGCATATCTTCTTTGTGCAGTGTCTGTTCAAGTCTTTAGTCCAGTTTTTTCAAATTGTGTGTTTTTTTAAATTACTGATTTATAGGAGTTCATTTGATATTCTGATGCCAGTCTGCATCAGGTATATGTATTACTTATACTTTCTCCCAGCCTGTGGTTTGCCTTTTCAATTTCTAACAGTCTTTTGATGAGCAGAAGCTTTTAATGCTGATGAATCTTAACTTATCATTTTTTTCTTTACATTTAGTGCTTTTGACATCCTTTAAGAAATCTCTGCCTACCTCAAAGCCTAAGAGATAGTCACCTACTTTTTTTTCAAGAAGTTTTACAGTGTTAGCTTTATGTTTACGCCTATGATATATCTCCAATTAATTTTTGTTTGTGGTGTAAGGAAGGGGTAAGAGGTTCATTCCCCCCCCCACTTGTTCCCCTTCATCAAAGTTTAATTGACATATATTACAGTACGTTTTCAATTAAGCTAGAAATCAACACAAAAACGTTAACCAGAGAAATCTCAAATGTTTGAAAATTAAGCAGTACACATCTAAACAGCATGGGTCAAAGAAGAAATCACAAGGGTAATTAGAAAAAAATTTGACTTAATAATAAAATGATGACAAATAAAAAGCAGTGAAATGCAGCTAAGCTATATTTTAAAAGGTCAGAAACCAATAATTTATATATCCATATCGAGGAATTAGAAAAAGAACATAGAAATAAATCCGAAGAAAGAGGAAATAAGCAATAACAATAAGAGCAGAAATAAATGAACTAGATAGAAAACAAACATAAGTTGAGAAAAATCAACAAAGGCAAAAAGTTGGTTCTTTGAAAAAGATAAACACTGATTAACCCTTTAGCCAGTCTTTGCAAAGCAGAGCCAAAGCTTCTCACCCCAACTCTATGACCCAAGAATCTTCTCCCTACAACACTGATTTCAGACAGAATAAGTCTCCTCATCTCTCCTATCGTTGGTCTCAAAGACACAAGGTCTATTTTACTTGTAAGAGTTTTGCTTTTATTCTTTACAGAGAAACAAATAGAGGAAAACAAAAACAAACACAAGGACGTCACAAAGCTTCCAGAATTTCGAATGTGAGCTCTTGGTCAACAACGTTATGAGGTGAAAACAACGGTGACCTGATGTTTGATGAGACATCAGCCCCCAAGATGTGAGGCTGTCAATATGGGTATTTGAAATATTGATTTACATCCACTATCATTAGGAGTGAACTTTATTCTAAGTGCCTTAAAAGGACAACTAACAATATTGTACAGCCAGTGTGATCAGCAAGACATTTTACAATTAAGTCTACAAAATGTGAATACAAATCTATTTTTCACTGACGTTGTCACTATGATACTCAATAAAACACTCAGTAATAATTATTTTTAAACAAAAGACAACAAGCCACACATCATCTGTGAAATATTTGTTCTCCCTGCCTCTGTAAAAAATGATTTAAATAATACACAAAAATCAACCAATGGTATTAATAATTTACTGATAATAATGCACAGATGAAAATTGGCAATCAATCAAATTCACTCCTTAGTCAACAGATGAAGAAAATGTTGGTAGAGATCTGAGGAAATAAATATTTAAAAATTACTTGACATGCAAAATTTATCATACTATTGGGTGAAATACAGACGTTTATCTCAATAATGAAATTCATAAAGAACTATTTTTTTAGTAAGCCACTAAAGGAAGAAGTACAGCAGAAGAAATATACGTTCTAATAATAAATGACTTCTTTAATAAAAACAACTGTTTTATGGAGAGCCTGTGACATCGATGGAGTGAAGAAAGGAGTCCAGGAAAAGATAATACCAGCTGTGAAAGGCATCTGTTGCATCATTCAGAGGCAAACTATTACATAAAGGAGGTTGACTCCGGAAAAGCACCAAGTTCGACAGAATGTCAATGGCACGGTTAATTTAGTAGAATCATTGTAAAACCTTGGCATAACATGGGATTGAGCATGAAAATCTTTTATGCTACACAGTGGTTCCTTGGTTATTTCACACCACTGCACCAAGAAGA